CCGTCCCCTCCACCGGCACCACCTCAGACCAGACTAGCCTGCCCGTCTGGGACGAGGGCAGGAGCGCCTGTGTGGACTCCCATCTCTCCCCCGTCCGTGCAGAGCTAGCTCCTTGCTCGAGATGATAGAGCACGTCACACGCCTGTTAGGCTGCAGCTCATGATCAGTGAGGGCAGGCGCTGTGGGAAGCGCTTTCACACATCGCCCCATTGGATTCCCACAGGGTCCTATGAGTGGGTCCTGCTAGCTCCCATTTTACAGATGAGGAGACTGAGGCACCGAAGTGGCTGATTTTCCCAAGGTCACCTAGGCAGTCAGCAGCGAAGCCCAGGTTAGAGGCCAGGCTGCCTTTGTGAAGGCTGAAAGGTACTTGGGAAGCATAATCTAACATACAGCATAAGTGTTCCACTCAAGGAAATCCCACAGAGTGAACTGACTCGTGTAACCGTCCCCGTAAATATGTAAAAAACCAACAAATGTCTTTCCTAAGGGCCTGTCGATGCCGAAGAGCTTTCACAGACAGAAACTCAGCGTTTTGCTGCTCACAGCCAATGTGAGCAGGAGGCAGGATGGTCATTAACCAGCTCTGTGTTTCGGAGGAGAAGTCGGGGGATTGGGGTGTCAGGTGACTGGCCTGAGACTGCACAGTTCGCAGGCACTTGGGCCGGGCCAGGCTCTGGCCCTGGCCCTCTGAGGTCAAGGCCACCTTCTCCTGACCTTCGCTGCCCAGGGGCCCTGGACACCTGACTGGGCTTTGTCCCTGTTGGCCTGTTGTCTTTAAGAAGCGGGACAGGCCCGGCTGGCGTGGCTCAGCGGTTGAGCATCCACCTGTGAACCAGGAGGTCACGGTTCGATTCCCGGTCAGGGCACATGCCTTGGTTGTGGACTCGATCCCTAGTAGGGGGCGTGCAGGAGGCAGCCGGTCAATGATTCTCTCTCATCACTGATGTTTCTAGCTCTCTCTCCCTCTCCCTTCCTCTCTGAAATGAATAAAAAATACATATTTTTTTTAAAAAAGAAGCAGGACAGTTCTGAGACAGAGCCTCAGGCCACACCACCGCCCCCACGTCCCCCACATCTGCCACGTCTGCCCGCACAGCTCTGGTCCCTGAAGCCACACTATGTGCCAGCCACGTGCTCTCGGCTAAGCTGGAGCAGGACCTGTTCCCAGGGCCCCGAGCTCAGGCAGCCAAGTACCAACTCTGTCCTTCAGGTTGCGGTTGAGTGAATAGAGGAAGAAGTTGTGCCGGCCTGTCCAGTGTACGCCGAGGACACTGGCTACCCCTGGGGAAGGAGAGGAGGGGGCGTCAGTAAGGAGCTGGGGTGGCCTTTGCCCAAGAGGAAGTCAGTTTGAAATAAAAAATGCTTTGTTCATCCGGGCCTGCGTGGCTCGGTGGTGGAGTGTCGTCCTATGAACCAGGAGGTCACGGTTCGATTCCCGGTCAGGGCACATGCTGGGTTATAGGCTCCTTCCCCAGTGTGGGGCGTGCAGGAGGCAGCCGATCCATGATTCTCTCTCCTCATTGATGTTTCTCTCTCTCTCCCTTTCCTTTCCTCTCTGAAACCAATAAAAATATATTTTTTAAAAAGTGGTTTGTTTCCAATGGGTGGCATCCACCACAAAGGTGAGCGTCCCGGAGAGCAGGGGCTGGGCACCCCGGAGGTACTCTCCTTCCTTCCTGGGAGGGACAGTGGCCGCAGCTGCCCTTGGCTGCTTCCACAGCTTCTAGATCATTCGTGTCCATCTGGCTGTCAGTGTTTTACTTATATTTTTAAAAATATATTTTTATTGATTTCAGAGAGGAAGGGAGAGGGAGAGAGAGGTAGGAACATCAATGATGAGAGAATCATGGATGGGCTGCCTCCCGCAGGTCCCCTACTAGGGACTGAGCCCGAGACCTCCTGGCTCCTAGGTCGACGCTCAACCACTGAGCCACGTGGGCTGGGCTGGCTGTCAGTTTTTAAATCACATCCTGTACGAAGTGAATTCATATCCAGAACAGCCTGGCTCCCTCCCCTGAAGCAGGTCACTCCCGGAAGACAGTGCCAGCCTCATTCTCAGGGCCTCTGGGCCGCAGCCCAGCCAGGAGCAGTGCGGCCACAGCCAGCGCCGGCTTCCACCTGGCCCCCTCCCCCCATGCAGGGTGTGCTGCGGGGACCCCTCTGGGGGGTCCAGATGCTGAGGCATTGCCCAAGGCGACTGGCCACGTGCCCAGGGCAGCCACTCCTTCATGGTCACTTACCTGGGGGGCTCTTGACCTCTGCTGGCATCACCGTTAGGCAGCTGTGAAAAAGGAAGTGGAACGTGGCCATGCTGAAGAGAGAGAGAGAGAGAGAGAGAGAGAGAGAGAGAGAGAGAGAGAGACTCGTCAGAGCCATGGCAGACTGACTCCTTGGCAAGGAGCAAGGCTGGTAGTCTTGGTACCAGGACCGGAAATGGGGTCCAGAGCCCCGAGGCACATGGCATTCTGGGTGCAGGTCCCGGTGGGTGCAGGGGGCGGGGCTGCGGGAGCCTCTCCCAGGTGGGACCAGCACCCTCTCTGACCCGGGAAGACCCCTTCAGGACCAGGCTTGGGCCATATGCCCAAATGCCCTCTTATCCTGGGGGCATTACAGCCGTGCTGTGCTGAAAAATTGGCTCTGTTTTTTAAAGCCCCAATTCCTGATTTATAGGGCTGTGGCTTTCTGTGTTGTAAACACTCTCACGATGGACAGTAACCAGCGGTTTAACAGCTGCCTGCAGGTTCCTAAACGCCTTGCCAGGCAGCGCTCCCCTGAGCCTCGCTCATTCCAGCCCAGGCTGCAGCGGGGTGCAGGGGGCTCAGCCCCAGGGCTGTGTCCTGACGGAGCAAACTCAAGGCCCAATGAGGGCAAGATGAGAGCGTTCATGCCCAGTGGGTGAGCATCGACCTCTGAACCAGGAGGTCACGGTTCGGTTCCCAGTCAGGGCACACGCCCGGGTTGTGGGCTCCATCCCCAGTAGACACTTCCCAGGCTGGGGCTCTGCTTTTACCGTCAGGACATGGGGCGAGTGGGGCCCGCTGGAAATGGAGACAGATGTTAACGGTAGTGACTTACAGTTCTACGTCTAGACCAGCCGTGGGCAAACTATGGCCCGCCGGCCGGATCCGGCCCGTTTGAAATGAATAAAACAAAACAAAAAAAAGACCGTACCCTTTTATGTAATGATGTTTACTTTGAATTTATATTAGTTCACACAAACACTCCATCCATGCTTTTGTTCCGGCCCTCCAGTCCAGTTTAAGAACCCATTGTGGCCCCCGAGTCAAAAAGTTTGCCCACCCCTGGTCTAGGATCTTCCGTGTTGTCTAGATAACTAGGACAAAATGCTAAGAGATGGTATCATACCTAAAGTAGTATAATAAGCTGTTTGCCATCTCCATAGCTACTATCTATTCCTTCTTGAAATCCATGTTCTCAGCCTTTGTCCTGTTTAAAAAATCTCAAAAAGATATGACTTCTCGCCCAGCCAGTGTGGCTCAGTAGGTGAGCACCGACCTATGAACCAGGAGGTCATGGTTTGATTCCCAGTCAGGGGACATGCCCGGGTTGCGGGTTCGATCCCCAATAGGGGGCGTGCAGGAAGCAGCCGATCAATGATTCTCTCTCATCACTGATGTTTCTATCTCTCCTGTTCCCTTTCTCTCTGAAATCAATAAAATATATATATATAGAGGCCCGGTGCACAAAAATTTGTGCACTTGGGGGATCCCTCAGCCTGGCCTGTGCCCTCTCGCAGTCTGGAACCCCTCGGGGGATGGACACCTGCTGGCTTAGGCCTGCTCCCCGGGGGATTGGGCCTAAGCTGGCAGTCAGACATCCCTCTGGCAGCCCAGGAGCCCTCGGGGATGTCCACTTGCCAGCGGGGATCAGGCCTAAGCTGCAGTCGGACATCCTTAGTGCTGCTGAGAAGGCGGGAGAGACTTCCACCACCACCGCTGTGCTGGCAGCTGGCAGCCTGGCTTGTGGCTGAGCAGAGCTCCCCCGTGTGGGAGCGCACTGACCACCAGGGGGCAGCTCCTGCATCGAGTGTCTGCCCCCTGGTGGTCAATGTGTGTCATAGTGACCAGTCATTCCCAGTTGTTCTGCTGTTAGGGTCAGTTTGCATATTACCCTTTTACTATATAGGATGACTTCTCGAACGATCTGCTGGAGTTCTCAGAGAGAAGCCCCAAACCAGAAGCTTTTAGACCCCGGATTGATTCAGGTCCTTGGGGAGAAGCCCTGGGGGCCGGGGCACAGGGCGAGGGCTCACCTGAGCGGCTCCTCCTCCCACTCCCCATCCAGGTACTTCCTGTAGGTGGCGTTGAAGACGGCGGTGTGCTGCTCCCACTGACTGTCCTTGATGATGTGGTTCTGGCCCGAGCCCAGCCCGTAGCAGCCCTCCATCTTTGCAAACACTTCCAGGGGACTCTTAAATAGGCTGCCTGCGTGGGACATAGTCCAGAGTCGGCCAAACCATCCGGCTCCCGCTTCCTGAGGCTCCCCTCCTTCCTCCCTGCAGAATCCCGCCTCCTCAGAAACCCAGTCTCGCCTGCAACCCTCCGTCGGTCCATCTGTCCGTCCGTCTGTCCGTGAGCCCAGGCGCTGTCTTTCCCGGGCCTCTCTGCTACCCCCCGCGCTCAGGGAGCACGGGCCACGAGCTGCTGCTCTTTCTGCTTCCGCGTCTCCCTCCCACCGCAGGTCCTCACCCCGGGTTACAGCATCTCCAGGGGATGTTCCCCACGTCACCAGAGACCTGAGGGCACGGTCGCTGCCCCACCAGCTCAGCAGGCAGTCCTGTCTCTTCCTCTGTTTAGTTTCCTGCAACTACCTTCCTTTCCAAGGCCGCCTCCCTCTGTCAGTCACTGTCTCCACATCACTCCCCTGCCCATAACCTTTCGTTTCCTGCCTGTCATCTGTCCTTAAGCCCACAGGAAAACCGGGCGATTTCGTTTCTGGGTCTGCACCCCCAACTGTCAGAACTCGGTACTCTTTGGAACGTGCCAGGCCCCTCAAGTTGCCTGCCGGGTCCCACGGTGGCCCGGATGCCCCTCCCCAGGGCAGCCACTGGTATCAATTTGCTGCGTAGCTCTCTACAGCAGGCTCCTCGTCGATAAACTCACGGTAGCATATTCCATCCATGGATGGTCTAACCCAGTGATGGCGAACCTATGACACGCGAACTCATTTTTTTGGTTGATTTTTCTTTGTTAAATGGCATTTAAATATATAAAATAAATATCAAAAATATAAATCTTTGTTTTACTATGGTTGCAAATATCAAAAAATTTCTATATGTGACACAGCCCCAGAGTTAAGTTAGGGTTTTTCAAAATGCTGACACACTGAGCTCAAAAGGTTCGCCATCACCGGTCTAACCGGTTCGTTATACATCGTTTCTCTTCCATGTGCAGAACCTACTGCTGACTGTACTGATGAATGAACTAACATGGGGTGTAGCAACGAATGAACTCCAGCACTAGCCGGTTTGGCCCAGTGGATAGAGCGTCGGCCTGTGGACTGAAGGGTCCCGGGTTCAATTCCAGTCAAGGGCACATGCCTGGGTTACAGGCTGCATCCCCAGTAGGGGATGTGCAGGAGGCGGCCGATCAATGATTCTCTCTCATCATTGATGTTTCTCTCTCTCCCTCTCCCTTCCTCTCTGAAATCAGTAAAAATATATTTAAAAAACAAACAAACAAACAAAAAAGACATGACAAGTCAATTAATATGTTTGGATTCTGATTCAAACAAACCAATGTAAAAAAAAAATCTTAAAAAAAATTTTTTTAAAAAAGGAATGAATTCCTATCAGCACCAAGAAAGACCTCTCTCTTTCATGGTCTCCCCATTCTGTTAGTTAACAGTATCCCCGTAACATTTATAACGTGTGTCTTTAGGTCCCAGAGTTTATCACTTAAAGAACATTTTCTCGCCCTAACCGGTTTGGCTCAGTGGATAGGGCGTCGGCCTGCAGACTCAGGGGTCCCAGGTTCGATTCCGGTCAAGGGCATGTACCTTGGTTGTGGGCACATTCCCAGTGGGGGAGTGTGCAGGAGGCAGCTGATCAATGTTTCTAACTCTCTAATCCCTCTCCCTTCCTCTCTGTAAAAAATCAATAAAATATATTTTTTTTAAAAAAAGAACATTTTCTCTCCAGAACTGTACTTGTGATTTAGATATTGCTGCCAATAAATAGAAAAGATGGGAAAGGTGGGAAAAGGCAACAAAAAGAAAAAACAATGCAAAATCAATGGCCAAAGGAGAGTATTAGTGGAATCATACTGGCCTGTAATGGGTTTGGGTGGCTTGATCTTCATTATCTGGACTGGAATACTCAACTTAAACTCCGCCAGACAACAGGTGCTTCCATCCTACAATAAGGAAAAGGCACAGCTAATAAGACAACAGAGGAGGGGAAAAAACAAACACCAGAATAATTCCAAAGATGGCAGGCAAAGAGGGAAAAGGAAGAAAAACAGGTAGGACAGTAGAGAGTAAATAGCAAAGTGGTAGACTTAAACCCATGCCTGGCCGTGGCTCAGTGGTTGAGCGTGGACCTATGAACCAGGAGGTCACGGTTCGATTCCCGGTCAGGGCACATGCCCGCGGTTGCGGGCTGGATCCACAGAGTGGGGCGTGCAGGAGGCAGCCGATCCGTGATTCTCTCTCATTGATGTTTCTATCTCTCTCCCTCTCCTTTCCTCTTTGAAATCAATGCAAATACGTTTTTTTTAAAATACCTGCATTTCTGTATACTGAGAACAAGCTGTTTATATCAGAGTCTGGGAAATTCAGGGGAATGCGGGGCATGAAAGGGTTACATCAGCCCCGAAGGGAAGAGAAATTGCCTGGGAGGCGAGAGGAAAGGCCCCCAGAGAAATGCCTGGGAGTCCTGGGTGGAGAGGTAACGCCCAGACCCAGGAGGGACTAAGAGCCCTGCTCCCGCAGCCACTCTGCCCGTTAATGCCTGGTTTGGGAGACATGGCCAGGGTGCCTGGCCTCCCTCCCACCCCCATTCATCTCCACGTCCCCAGGAGGGCTCATGCGGGATGTAGGGCCAGGGGAGGGAGAAACGCAGCGGTTAAAGGCGGGCTTCCTACCGCTTGGAGCTGTTTGGGTTTTTTCTTTGGGTTCACAGCCAGTTGGGGGTGTTCCACTTCCTTGACCCAAGACTCCTTGGGCAACTTGTACACGTCCAGCCAAGTGTCTCCAGCCCCTGCGTTGGGAAAGCCAGGGACTGTTGAGCAACGGCAGGCCGGCGCCACATGTCCTCTGAGGACGGCCTGTCTCCTCGGAACCCCTGACACGGAGGCTGGCAGACACCCCCGAACAGCAGGGTCCTCACTCCCGGAGAGCTGGGCTGCTCCCCCGAGGCCACCGCACCTGCACTGCCCCAGCAGCTTTTATTGGTTGGTTGATGGGTTTCAGAGAGGAAAGGAGAGGGAGAAACATCATGATGAGAGAGAATCATGGATCAGCTGCCTCCTGCACGTCCCCTATTGGGGATCGAGCCCGCAACCCAGGCATGTGCCCTTGACCGGAATCGAACCCTGACCCTTCCGTCCACAGGCCGACGCTCTAACCACTTAGCTCACTGGCTAGGGCGAACCCTAACAGTTTCTAACCAGACTCTGCTGGGCCCGTCCCCAGGTGTTCCCCAATGGCAAATGACCCTTCCGTCCATAGGCCAATGCTCTAACCACTTAGCTCACTGGCTAGGGTGAACCCTAACAGTTTCTAACCAGACTCTGCTGGGCCCGTCCCCAGGTGTTCCCCAATGGCAAACCCCACTGACATCGTGTCTCAGCGATTCCTCTCTGGGGAGGAAGGCGGCTCGTATGGAACCAGCACCGGGCAGGGCTAGGCCGAGAAGGGGTTGTAACTGGGAGCGATGCCCCAAGAGAATCCTTCTGACCAATATTGGGCAGATGACAACCTGTGGGGGGCGTGGGACTTTGTCTTGTCATAGAAATGTGCTCAGCTCTGTACCGAGTACCTGCCCATCGGGGAGGGGCTGCTTTCTCGTGGGATGGGTTCCTGGCTAAAGGTTTCCTTCAAAAAGTGCTCGTCGCTCTGGCCGGTTTGGCTCAGTGGATAGAGCGAAGTCCTGCGGACTGAAGGGTCCCGGGTTCGGTTCCGGTCAAGGGCACGTAACTAGGTTGCAGGCTCCATCCCTGGCCTTGGTCAGGGTGCATGTGGGAGGCAACCAATCAACGTGTCTCTCTCACATCGATGTTTCTCTCTGTCTCTCCTCCCTTCCACTTTCTCTAAAAAAATCAATGGAAAGATATCCTCAGGTGAGGATTAACAAAAAAAACAAAAACAAAAAAGTGATCAACTGGTCACCTTGACTTCAGAATTCTGGCCTCCAGAACTCTGGGAGAAAATAGTTATCTGTTGCTTTAAGCCACCCAGTGTGGCACTGTTTGGGCCGTCCTAGGAAACTGCTGCAGACTCAGTCTCCTTTGATGCATAAAGCGGTGTAAATACACATCTTCCTCAAGCACATGACCTGGGAGGGACCCAGGAAACAATATCAGTAGAGGCCCAGCCCGGCCGGTGTGGCTCAGAGGTTGAGCATCAACCTATGAACCAGGAGGTCACAGTTCGATTCCCGGTCAGGGCTCTTGCTGAGGTTGCAGGCTCGATCCCCAGTAGTGGGCGTGCAGGAGGCAGCCGATCCATGATTCTCTCTCATCATCATGGATGTTTCTATCCCTCTCTCCCTCTCCCTTCTTCTCTGAAATCAATAAAATACATATTTTTTTAAAATAGAGGCCCAGCCCTAGCCAGTTTGGCTCAGTGGATAGAGCGTTGGCCTGCGGACTGAAGGGTCCCAGGTTTGATTCCGGCCAAGGGCACATGCCCAGGTTGCGGGCTCGATCCCTAGTGGGGGGTGTGCAGGAGGCAGCCGATCAGCGATTCTCTCTAATCGTTGATGTTTCTATCTCTCTCTCCCTCTCCTTTCCTCTCTGAAATCAATAAAAACATATAAAAAATAAATTAATAAAAAATAAAATAGAGGCCCATAAATCATATGTCTAAATATTCAAAAGTTAAAAATCAAGCTAACAGCCCTAACCGGTTTGGCTCAGTGGATAGAGCGTCGGCCTGTGGACTCAAGGGTCCCGGGTTCGATTCCAGTCAAGGGCATGTACCTTGGTTGTGGGCACATCCCCAGTGGGGAGTGTGCAGGAGGCAGCTGATCGATGTTTCTCTCTCATCGATGCTTCTAACTCTCTATCCCTCTCCCTTCCTCTCTGTAAAAAATCAACAAAATATATTTTTAAAAAAAATCAAGCTAACAGTCCATTTGGAAGGAAGAAAAAAAAAAGTCCATCACCATAGTAATAATTGCAACATTGCTTAAATCGGTGGGCAAAACTTTAAGAAGAAACAGGGTATTTGTAGAATCTCAAAGTATCTCCCCCAAGTGGTTTTCGATGAGTGTGGTGGTTTCAGCATTCAGCCGGAAATTCTTTGGTTCTGCTGCCTCTCCCCTTCAGTGTGGTCTGGACTTGGTGACTCCCTTCTGACAGAGTTCGGACAGGGCACCACAGTGGCTCAGCGGGCGGGGGGGGTAGGGGGGGGGAGCCTGGCAGATGCCACTTGAACTAAATGTCAAGGTTAACATGGGCAGCAGAGAGTCACGTTGCTGTCACACTCGCCCTGGTTCGACGCAGTGAAAAAGGCCCTTCACCTCTGCGTATCTTCCCCCAAATCCTTAACCCCAGTGGAACCACGAGAAACACTCAAACCATGAAATTGAGGGACGTTGCACAAAACATCTGACCGGTGCTCTTCAGAAATGTCAAGGTCACGGAAAACAAGGAGAGACCAAGACACTGTCAGTGAGGAGTAGACTAAGCAGACGTGAGACTAGATGCAGTGTGGTTTCCTGACTGACCCTCAGAGCGAAAAAATTAAATTTGTGGGAAAATTGGTGAAATTGCAGGGGGGCGGGGGGTTGGCGAGGAGAGAATATGTAATTAACAGTATTATACCGCCTGGCCGGTATGGCTCCGTGGTTGAGCATCTACCTATGAACCAGGAGGTCATGGTTTGATTCCCGGTCAGGGCACATGCCCGAGTTACAGGCTTGATCCCCAGTGGGGGGGTGGGGGGGAGGGGGTGTGCAGGAGGCAACCGATCAATGATTCTCTCTCATCATTGATGTTTCTATCTCTCTCTCCCTCTCCTTTCCTCTCTGAAATCAATAAAAAAAATTTTTTTTAAATAGTATTATAGCCCTAGCTGGTGTGGCTTAGTAGATAAAGCGTCGGCCCGCAGACTGAAGGGTCCCAGGTTCAATTCCAATCAAGGGCACATGCCCGGGTTGCGGCCTCGATCCCTGGTAGGGAGCGTGCAGGAGGCAGCCGGTCAATGATTCTCTCTCATCACTGATGTTTCTATCTTTCTCCCTCTCCCTTCCTCTCTGAAATCAATAAAAATATTTTTTTTTAAAAAGGAAAAGCAATTCAATGTTACAAAGGATATTACCTTTAAAAAAATCGTATTGTCCCCATGTTATTGGCTCACTAGTAAGTTTGACAAGTGCCTGGGGAAGCTGGGTGGAGGGTACGAGGACTCTGCCCCGCCCCTGCAGTTCTGAAGAGTCCTCGAGGGGAAGGGGGATTCTCTAGGGGAGACTGCAGACCCGGACTCTCCTCGCGGCCCCCGTGAGCCTTGCCTTGTATGAGGAAGGCTGCAAGTCCCCCTCCATGAGAGATGTCCATCTTCATGCAGATGGTTTGCTTGTTGGTGTCATCCTGAAACGGAGAGAGAGGCTGCTAGAGCCAGGCCGCCCGCTGACCGAGAGGGGGCCTGTGGGGGCTGGCCTGTCCCCCCCCCCCCGTTCACATAAACCCTTCCAAGCTGGGGGCACGGAGAGATGCCTCTCTGTGGACACGTGTTTTTATTTCTCTCGGGTCAAAGCCTAGGAATGCGACTGATGAGCGATCGGTTCAACTTTATATCTCAGATATGTTTCCCAGTCCGTCTGTGGATTTTTTGTTTTCTTTTTTTTTTTTAATATATTTTTATTGGGTGTGTCCGGCCGTCTCGCTCAGTCCTGATCGGCTGGACCCCAGCAGCAAACTAACCTACCGGTCGGAGCGTCTTCCCCCTGGTGGTCAGTGCACATCATAGCGACTGGTTGACCGGTCGACTCTCTGCCCCCTGGTGGTCAGTGTACATCATAGCAAGCGGTTGAGCAGCCTTAGTATATCATTAGCATATTACGCTTTGATTGGTTGAACGGATGACTGGACACTTAGCATATTAGGCTTTTATTACATAGGATACTTTCTTTGTCCTGGGCCCCATCAGTAACATTTTGTACAAGATAAACTGCAATTAGAAATCTACCCTGAGCAATACTGTCTCTTTTGGGGATTCATTAATCTTAAAAAATAAAAAGAGCCCACATTCTGAGAACCTACAGCAACATGCAGGCAGTGTGTGGGAACGAGGGATGCACGGGTAAGACGTGCCCCTGCCCTCAGGGAGCCTACATCCCAGGGAAGAAGCCACCATGTAAACAAGCAAGGATGCGGGGGAGAAAACGCAAAGGAAATTCTGTTCTGTACGGTGGTGGCACAGAGGAGGGAGAGTATGTTAGAGAGCTGGCCTGGAGGCACGGGAGAAATTTAAGAGGCGCGCACAGTAGGTAGTAGGGAGGCAGGGAGAGTCCTCCAAGCACAGGGAACAGCATGGGCCGGGGAACAGGATGTGAGGCGGCCCGGAAATTTTAGGGACTCATGAGGAGTTATCGGATATGTTGGGCTGGTGCTCAGCCTGGACCGGAGTTCCTTCGTAATTCTCTCCTCTCAACCACGTGGTAATAAGTCCAAGGTATTCAGCTCCCACCTCTCATGGTCCGGGATCCTTTTAATTGACTACTTTGGAGAAGGCTGTTGGACCAGGGAGGTGTCTCTTTCTTACTATTCTAGGACAGCTGTCATTGCCTCCATCTTAAATTTAATTTAATTTTATTTTATTTCTTGTTAATCCTCACCCAAGGATATTTTTCCCATTGATTTTTTAAAATCTATTTTATTGATTTTTTACAGAGAGGAAGGGAGAGAGATAGAGAGTTAGAAACATCGATCAGCTGCCTCCTGCATACCCCCTTCTTGGGATGTGCCCACAACCAAGGTACATGCCCTTGACCGGAATCAAACCTGGGACCCCTCAGTCCGCAGGCCGATGCTCCATCCACTGAGCCAAACCGGTTAGGGCATTTCCCATTGATTTTAAGAGAGAGTGGAAGGGAGAGGGAGAGACACACAGAGAGAAACATGATGTGAGAAAGGCAAATCGATTGGTTGCCTCTTGCACGTGCCCCCACCGAAGCCAGGGATCGATTCTGCAACCGAGGTGCGTGCCCTGGACCGGAATCAAACCTATGACTCTTCCTTCATTCCACAGGCCAGTGCTCTAACCACTGAGCAACCTGGCTAGGGCTTAGTACATTTTTACAAGTTTTATTTATTGATTTTTTCAGAGAGAGAGAGGAAAGGAGAGAGAACCATCGCTTTTGTCCCACCTATGTATGCATTCTTTGGCTGATTCTCGTACGTGCCCTGATCGGGGATCGCACCCTCAACCTTGGTGTACCGCCCGGCGCTCTAACCCACTGAGCTACTCGGCCAGGGCCTCGCCTCCATCTTAAGAGTGAACCTGATTGGCTACAGCGCGCGGCCCCGCTCTAGGAACTTACCACTTCGTTGATGGTTTTGATGAAGAAGAGACCTTCCTTACAAAGATAAAACAGTCTAACGACACCTGAAAGGGAAAAATGAGTAAGAACGTAAGACAGACGAGGGAGCTGTCACTTTCTCTCGGACTTCCTGAGATTGGCGTCGGCAGCTCCTGCACGCTCGGGGCCTCCTCCCGTCCCTCCCCCGCTGTGAGGGCCTGGGTCTCCCTGCCTTCCTCCACCCGGCACCTGCCCACCCCAGCCCCGTCCCCTTCTCCTAGGAGCCTCCCAGGGGCCCTCTGGCCACACGGGTCCCCTCTCCTTGACTCCTGTCCCCTGTGCTAGTCATCATCCCATTCTGCCTCACCTGGTTACCCACCTGTGTCCTGTGGGTGTTTTGTTTGTTTTGTTTTGAATATATTTTTCTTAATGTCGGAGAGGAAAGGAGAGGGAAAGAGAGATAGAAACAGCAATGATGAGAGAGAATCATTGATCAGCTGCCTTCTGCACGCTCCACATTGGGGATCGAGCCTGCAACCCGGGCATGTGCTCTGACCGGGAATCGAACCAGTGACCTCCTGGTTCATAGGTCGACGCTCAACCACTGAGCCACGCCGGCCGGGCTTGTGGGTGTGTTTTATTCCTCTAGCGAGGTCATAGGTTCTTTGAGGGAAAGGTCGTATCTCACTCTTCTATGTGCCTCACCTGTCAAGCCCCAGCAAGCTCCTCATACAGTTGAATTTGTTGATTTCATAAGTAAATGTGTCATTCTAATTATGGTGTAACCTACGGGCTCCCTCCAGTAGAGGATCCACATCCCCATGACTTCTCGCCTCTTCCTTTAGGTGCCCCCCAGACACCCAGAACCCGCCCCTCCACCCATAAACAGACCTCGCAAAGGCAACCAGCCCACAGGGCGTGGAGGTCTAAGTGCGCCCAGTACACACCCCTGGGGTACCTGCTCTCCGGCCAGGGACGTGCTGGGGACGAGCCAGGCAGCCCCTGCCCGCAGACTCATCACGCCGAGGGTCACACAGACGTGAACCTGACCAGATACGGCGCGATTAGACCAAAGCTGGGCACGTGCAAGTGGAACGCCCCGACCCCTGAAGCCCTATTCTCCCACAGCGGCTTCAGCATCGAGCCGTGATCTAAGGCAGAACGGAGTCCTTTTCTTCCCTCCCCCTCACTGACCTCCCTGCCCCATACACATACCCATCACTCACCCAGTTTTCCCATTACATCTTCCTTTTTTTTTGTTTTTTTTAATCCTCACCCGAGGATATTTTTCCATTGATTCTTAGAGCGAGTGGAAGGGAGAGGGAAAGACAGAGAGAAATACTGATGTGAGAGAAACACATCGATTGGTTGCCTCCTACACGCGTCTCAACCAGGGCCTGGGCCAGGGAGGAACCTGCAACCGAGGTTCATGCCCTTGACCGGAATCGAACCCGGGCCCCTTCAGTCCGCAGGCCGACGCTCTATCCACTGAGCCACACCGGCCAGGGCTTCCTTTTCATTTTTAAAGCTTTTTTTTTTTAACATATTATTATTTTTTATTTATTATTATATATTATTATTATTATATTTTTGAACTTAATATCAGACTTAGGGAAACCTTGCAAAAATAGAACAAAGAATTCTCTGATGTCCCTCCCCTCACTTCCCCTCGTGTGAGCATCGCATGTAACCACAGTGCAGTCTTCCTTATCATGTGAACGGCCCCTGCCCTGGTCCAGGCCATCGTTTCTCCCCTCAGTGCACACATGGTTCTTACTCGTCTCTCTGCCTCTTGTCCGGCTTCTGCAGACTCCTACCAGTGCGCCCTTTCTAACCTGTCCACCAGGCCCAGCCACCCTCAGAGACGGGGCCCCAGGACCCTGTCTACAGCCCTCTATGCTGCAGTTCCCATGAGGGCCTGGTTCGTCCTCGGGCTGAGGGGGAAAGCAAGCCCTGGTTTCTGTGAGCGGCAGGATTGCTGAGTGCCCATGGGGTGTGGACTCCGGGGCCTCCTGCCTGGTTCGAATCCCGCCAGCGCCATTTACTTCCTGTGCTACCTCAAGTGAGTCATTTCACCTCCGCGCCTCGGTTGCCTCCTCTGAAAAGTATACTTACCTCCTAGGGCTGTGCTGAGGGTTAAAGGGCCAGTATGTGAAATGTTGAGAGAGTGCCTGGCACACCGTACATGACCAGGGAGAACTTGCCAATGTGTAGCCCTGCCTACCCCAGGGAAGGAAATGAACAACGGTCTACAGCAAGCATGTCAAACTCGTGGCCCACGGGCCGCATGCAGCCCATAAGGAATATTTTTGTGGGCCAGCCAACATAACAGTGTGAGCAGTTATTTACCGGTACAGCTAGAGGCCCGATGCACGAAATCCATGCACGGGTAGGGTCCCTAGGCCTGGCCGGCGACCAGGGCCGATCTGTGGGCCAACAGCAGGGCAATTGGGGGGCTCCCGCTGGCACCTGCCTTGGCTGGCCTGGGGCCTGCAGGTTGGGGGCAGCCCCTGCATTGAGCGTCTTCCCCCTGGTGGTCAGTGTGCATCATAGCGACTGGTCGTTCCACCGATCAATTTGCATATTAGGCTTTTATTATATAGGATTATGAAAGGAAATAAGTCTCCTGTCAGATCCAGAATTACTGACATTCACCGTGGGTCAGTATTGAAAGTGATCACTGTGAACAAGACTTCCCCCGAAGTAGGAAAGATGGTAGCAGAGAGATGCCAAGTGCCAGGAAGAAAACATGAATCTTATCATTGCTCTTGTGCTTTTTTTATAAATACTATACTTTTCGAAATAAACCTACGTTTCTATGAAAATGGAAGCTTTTGTTTTTTTGCGGCCACGTAAACTTAAACCTTGTTTATTGGGCCCGTGTTAGCCCTTGAGTTTGACACGCTCGGTCTACAGGTGCACGTAAATGAGGCTAAAGGAAGATGGAGAACAAGTACCCATTTCATCCACAGGAGCCATAAGCGTTTCGTTCCCCAAGTCTGTGGTCCAGATGGACATGACCTCGGCCTTAAATTTCTCGTAAACATAGATTTGTTTAGCATCGTGCAGATTGTAGATGGAGAAGCCTTTGGCTCCTGCAATAAACACATAGTCCTGGGAAACCGCTAGGCATCTTGGCCTTTTGCTGAGCTGGGAAAACAAAGAACAAAGAGGAAAAAAAAAAAAGGATGATTTTTCAGCTGCCACTTTCTGCGAGCAACTAGTTAACATTTCAAAGAGGGATGTGGGTCCTTCCTACATATAATATCCTCCCCAAACACAGGCTCATTTCCATATTGTGCCCACGTATCAAGGAGTCATAGCCACCCTAGCCGGTTTGGCTCAGTGGATAGAGTATTGGCCTGCAGACCGAAGGGTCCGATTCCAGTCGAGGGCACGTACCTCAGTTAAGGTTCCTCCCGGGCCCAGGCCCTGGTCGGAGCTAGGGCAGGAGGCAACCAATCGATGTGTTTCTCTCACATGGATGTTTCTCTCTGTCTTTCCCTCTCTCTCCCACTCTCTCTAAAAATCAATGGGAAAAATATCCTCGGGTGAGGATTAACAACAAAAAAAGGGAAAATAAGAGGAAGCCATAGCACTCCACTTTTAGGGCAGTGGGTCCAGAGAAAACAAAGAAGTGGAGAGTAAATGTTTAGTCACTACACTATGTGTGGCCACATCCCCTGTACCACATTCATCTATAACAGGGGTCCTCAAACTTTTTAAACAGGGGTCCAGTTCACTGTCCCTCAGACCGTTGGAGGGCTGGACTATAGTTTAAAAAAACTATGAACAAATTCCTATGCACACTACACATATCTTATTTTGAAGTAAAAAAACAAAACGGAACAAATACAATATTTGTATTTGCATGTGGCCCGTGGACCCTAGTTTGAGGACCCCTGATCTATAACATTGTGGCCCGACCAGTGTGGCTCAGTGGTTGAGCGTCGACCTATGAACCAGGAGGTCACAGTTCGATTCCCAGTCAGGGCACATGCCCGGGGTTGCGGGCTCGATCCCCAGTGTGGGGCGTGCAGGAGGCAGCGATCCATGATTCTCTCTCATCATTAATGTTTCTCTCTCTCTCTCCCTCTTCCTTCCTCTCTGAAATCAATAAAAATATATATTAAACAAAACCAAAAAACACTGTGGAAAGAGCTATCATGGAGGCGCTGGCAGATTCTCACCCATCAAGCAAGAGAGTGATGACTACATTCAGAAAGATATCAAAATAACAGCGGCTGAACATAAAAGACCTGCTGTGTCATCCTCCATTAGCCAGAACACCCGTTTCCACAGACACGGACCAAATCCAGTCCAGGCAACACTGGCATGCCTAGACTCTTTAAAAGAAATGCAGCTGTCTTATTGAATGAAGGCTCCTGGTAGGAATTCCTTCCCTGGATGAGGTGTTTTCATTTATTATTTACTGGAGGCCTGATGCAGGAAATTTGTGCAAAGGTAGGCCCTCACAGCCTCGGCTTCATCCGGAAGGTCGTCTGGCTGGTCCTCCTGCTGTTCCGTCTAATTAGCATATTAGCTCTTTATTATATAGGATATGGAGAGGAAGGGAAAGGGAGAGAGAGATAGAAACATCAATGATGAGAGAGAATCATTGATCGGCTGCCTCCTGCACGCCCCCCACTGGGGATGGAGCCCACAACCCGGGCATGTGCCCAGACCGGGAATCAAACCGTGACCTCCTGGTTCATAGGTCG